CGAAGGAAGCCGAACACAACAGTAGGGACATAAGCAAGAGGTAACAAGCCAGGATGGGTCAGTGGCTAGCGTCTGCCTTTAAGTCGCTCATGGGCAAGCAGGAGGTGCGTATCCTTATGGTGGGTCTTGATGCTGCAGGTAAGACAACAATATTGTACAAGCTGAAGCTTGGAGAAATCGTCACAACGATCCCAACGATTGGGTTTAATGTTGAGACAGTGGAGTACAAGAATCTCAAGTTCACCATGTGGGACGTTGGTGGCCAAGACGTCCTGCGCCCGCTGTGGCGTCACTACTACCAAAACACCAATGGGCTCATTTTCGTTGTGGACTCCAACGACAGGGAGCGTGTTGGAAAGGCGCGGCAAGAACTGGAGAAGATGCTGACCGAAGACGAGCTTCGCAATGCGGTTCTCCTGGTATTTGCTAACAAGCAGGACCTGCCCAACGCCATGAGTACGACAGAGGTAACGGAAAAGCTTGGACTGCACTCTGTGCGTCAGCGCAACTGGTATATTCAAGGGTGCTGTGCGACTACGGCCCAAGGATTGTACGAAGGTCTCGACTGGCTTGCCGCTAATATCAAAAAGACAGCGCAATAGAGTGTGATGGAAAAGGTTATTATCTAATATTCTCTGGCGGCGAACTGTTGCTTCATCCGTTCAATGGATTGGGAAGAATATGAATGTCCGTGGTTGAACTCTGCTTAAGACACTATACAGTCACAAGAAGTGTCGCTGGTTTTTTGGGGGGCATATTCGTTTTTGTTGTTGTTGTTGTTGTTTTTTGTATTATTAGAAACAGAATGGGATGCCTCCGAGGATTTTCACCTCGAAGGGAAGTGGGGGGTCTAGCGGGCTGCTTTCCGCCTTTGGTTCAGCGCTTCATGGGTACCATAGGGGGTCCCGGGCCTTTTTTCCAGAACCCGTTGATGCTTGGCTTGCTGCGTTGATGGACGCCGTGCCGTTCTACCAGCGGTGTGTTGTGGTTTGCCCCTCCACCATGTCCGATGACCGCGCAGCTTCGTTGCTGGGTCGTGCGCGAGAGCACTTGCCTTCAGCGCATTTGGCACCGCTGCGCAGACGCAGCCGTGGTGTGGCGGGGTTCTCGGCGTCCTCTGATAAGGGGAGCGGCGCCGTGCAGATTACAGCCAGCACACTGCCTCCATTTGTTTCGCCATTGGAAAGCGTTCCGCCGCACTCCCTCGACCTCGTAGTGTTTGCCGCCAACGTGTTCGGGGAGGAGATGCTGCACGACGCACCGTGGCACATGTCGCTCGCCCACCGCTGCCTTCAGCCACACGGAGTCGTCGCCATCATGGGCTACACACCGCGGGTCCGGGTGGCAGCCCCAGAGATGGAGCACAGGGATGCAGATGACTTTCTGGAGGATCTGGGGCGCCGGGCACGCGAGGTGTCGGAGGCAGCGGATTCCCAACAGCACGGCGCTGCATTGCGGCGAGCTGTGGAAATCAGCAGCAGTTTGGATGTGGGGCACGCAGATACCTATTTTCCATTCCCCTCGACTAGGCGTCGGTGGTTTGTTTCGGAGTACGCCGCAACTTCCGCGCAGCTGGCAGCGTCATACAGGGCACTACCAGAATATCAATTACTCTCCGCTGGGACACGCCTTCGCAACTCGCCATTTTGTGAAGAGAACATTGGAGAGGCCGAGAATGATGACGATGCGGTGAATGTTTCTCGCCGACGAAGCTACGTGGACCCTCTCGAAGCCTTGCAAGGTTGTTTGCAGGCACGTGAAATGACGCAAGGGTCAGGGAAGTTTGTTCCGGCTCCGCTGAGGATTCACGTACGACATTTTGTTGTTACATGCAGCGCCCGTTCAGTGAATGCCCCGATCGAGGCTCACCAGTTTCCACCTGCTCAGAGGCACCAGCCACAGTTAAAGTAGTGGTGTGGCTGGTGGATTTGTGGGCCGACTCCTACACATGTGCATCAACGGAAAATAACGAGTGTAAGGGAGAAATCCATGCATAACTGAAGGTATTGGTCGAAGGAATACTTCTCACTGTCTTTCTCATCTCCCTGTCTGTAGATGTCTCTTTTTATTATTATCATTTTTTATTTATTTTCGTTCTTATTCCTGAAGGTAGGGTACGGCTGTGGGAGTGACGAAAAAAAACAAAAGGACACTGAGGAAAGCGGATTTCTTTGTTCTGGACTTTGTGGGCTGGGAGTGAAGGAGATTCTTCATTCTCACTACTCCTTAGCCATGGAATGGATGAAGAACACGATGTTGTTGTTCGCTGTGCGGCAAGTTCTTGGTCGTGTTGTGAAGAACATTCAAAGTGATCAGTTAGAGAAAATCGAGCGCTCAAAGGACAGAATGGGCTTTACCTTTGAGTTTTCCCATCTTGAGTTGAATGAGGCGTTCATCAATAATTCACTTCTTGGGGCCTTTGCTCAGCCTCCTGTGACCTCGCCGTCCTCTGGTGCACCGTCGACGCCTTCATCGTCATCATTACCATCATCAAGTTTGGTGCGCCTTGTGCGCGGCTACGTGAACAGTCTTTGCGGGAGTCTGAGTGTCAAACCAAATGGGCAGCGAAGGATAGAGGTTCACGGCCTGCAGCTCGTGTTCGATGTCATCCCAAAGACGGAATGCGCTGTTCCAAAGGACCGCCGTGGGTGCCAAAGGAGTGCCCCCAAAGGGGCTGCAGGGGGGAACTTCGATGGCGGTTCATATGATGCCATGTACTCCTCCCTCTTTATGAGCGGCGAGTTGCGCAGAGAGGTCGAGGAAGTTGTTGTGCGTCCTGCCCTGGGCGCGACGAACCCCTTTGCAAACCAGAAGTCAGCGCTGCCGCAGAGGATCAGCGAAGGGCTTGAGGTGTTTGAGCGCGCCATTAAACAGCTCGCACACAGTGTGAGTGGCTGTATAAGGGATGTGAGTATCATTCTGCGCATTCCACCCCTGGGCCAACAGATAAAGCCGGGGGAGGAGCCACCGGAAGGAAGTTTGGAGCTGCTCGTGTCCTTCGAAGGCGGCTTTGAGCTAGAGGACATGCATACCAACCCCGACAGCGATGTTGCGTACAAGCGCATTCGATTCTCTTGTCTCCGTGCGGCAGTGTACCCGTACGGGCAGCGGCGCAGCAAACATACCACTGATGACCTGGAGGAGGAGTCTGTCGACCTCGCGGATGTGTTTCTATGTAGTGGGCGATCAGATGATTTCAACGACAGCATCAGGCTGCAGTTTAGCGAGGGCCGCAGTGCAACGCGGGGGCCGGAGGCATCTCTCAACGCTGGAGCCCAGACGAAATCCATCTTCCTTATACTCTCCCCGACCCAGCTGAGCCGTCTAGTACATGTTGCCCGTGCGTTGGTTGGCGCACCGGAGAAGAAAAATGACAAAAATGGAGACGGTATAGAAGTGGCACCAGCAGCAGCAGCGGCGGCGGCGGCGGCGGCGGCGGCGGCGATGGAACCTTGTGGAGTGCGACTCACCACGGTGGTCAAGATGACGTGTCAGTTCATTTCGTGCACGCTTCTTCGAGCTGATGACCGGCAGGGTACAAAGGATTTCTGGCAGCAACTTCAGGATAACAATGAGGAATGGTGCTCTGACAAAGAGCAGCTGACGTCGCAGCAACATCGAATAATATTGCAACGTCTTCTTCACCGCGTGGGATTTTACAACATGTACGTTAAAGGCATCATGTTTTTGGTTCAGCCAGAGACATCTCCTACAAACCGCAGCGATGATGCGTTTCATGACGTGTTTGAAAAACACGGAGGGCGCGGTTGCTCTGCTGGAATCAGTGCCCTTGAAATTTACGAGTGTCACTTCAAAAGCAGCCACGGCGACGACAAGAGTAAAGAAGGGACCAGCAAGGACTCTTCCATTGAAGAAACTGAAGGGGGTCGACTCATTTTCACGACACGAGAGAATGATGAAACTAACACTGAGCGACACTACCGCATTGCCATTATCGCGCGAACCACGTACCCCCTAACGCCGGAGGAGGCGCGCGTCTTCGATCAAAGTCTGATGAATGAAAAAAAACACGTGATTGCCGTCGTGCTAGAGCACATTCTTGTAATGACATCAGGTGCTGTCATATTGGGAGAATTGGACGCCGGCGTCCTTGAGAGGCTGGGTACCTTTTGGGCTCAACTGCGTCATATTTTGGACGCAGCTCCAGGGGCAAGGCTGGCACGACAGCGGCAAGGAGAGGAGTTCAATGCCTTTGCATCGATGATGTCCCCACTGCGGAAAATACCGTCGGAGAGGATGGATCGCTACGAGCAGCTTGTGGATGAGGAACAGTTTACACATCTCACAGTGGAACAATTGGTGGAGGAAGAGACTGGAGATTCCTGCAACCAGGTTAGGGTGGTTGCGCCCTATGAGTTCCTACGCCTCTTTACATTGAAGCTGGAAGGTGTCTCAGTGGAAATGAAATTTCCGACGTCTAAGGCGCCCAAGGCGGACTACTATGGGCCTCTCACACGCCGACTGTGGGAACACCTGCGGGAGGAAGGTGAAGCGTTGGCCGAATCAGCTGTCACGAACAGTTTGGGGGGCGTGGATGGTCCCTATCTTCCACTGACGATGTGTATTTATCTAAAGACACTCGATGTGTCAGTGGGTAGTGGCGGGGTTCTGGAGGTGTTTCTAGGGGAAGGACAGCTGACCCTGCAAGACTACAAGGAAGGTGTACAAAGCAACATCATCCACTGTGTGTTCGATACAGAAGGCAAGGAGCCCTGCATCGCCGTCCGACAACGGCAGTCACTGGAACCAGGTGTAAGATGGAGAGTCCCAAAGAAGGCCATCGCCCCCTTTACGGAAGAGTATGAAGAAGAAGAGCATCAAGTTGAGAGCAACAGTCTGATCTCTGTGGTGGCGAATGTGCATCACGTCGATGCCCAGCTCCATCAAGACGAGTTGCTTCTAATCTTTTTCTACCTTGATGAAACAATGGAGGCGGTGGACAGATTGTGCACCCTGATAGGACTTCCGTCCAGTGGCGTTGACAGCAGTGATAAAAGCATCAGCAAAATAAGCGAGTTGGGGACTGCATCACTATCTAGCAATGTGTTTCAGATGTCTGACGATTGCACACAGCGTAGCAGCCTTACTTCGGATCCTATTCTCACCAGCATCAACATCCGACTGAGAGTGGAGAAAGGAACCGTGTCACTATGGTCACCACGGCTCTCTTCTGCAGGTGTCAGCATTGGAGAACCACTCTGGCGCTGCATCCCACTAAAGGATCGGCGTTCCATTGACAAGACACACCTGTACCACCTTTACGACGTGATGGTTTCGAAGGTCACCGTATTTGCCTTTCATCAGGCATCCGTTGGGCTCGTCAAGACAGTGATGCACGTCGCGGCGACTGACTTCTACTTCAGAGAGCGGCTTGCTCAAGCAAGATTGGCGTACGCTGATTTCCCGTGGCCGGCTGAACATGTCTCTTCGCCCAACTGGGGTGGCAGCACGACGTTTCTGCAGAGTTACGCAGCTCTGTATAACAGGGCAAACAACGTCCGAATACGCCGACACGAGAGGGGGACTACGCAAGAAACGCGTCAGCGCCATGCCGCCGGCCTGTCGCTCTGCCGCCACCGCAACTTGAAGGATCACACTGAAAAATACGATGTGGCTGTGCAACTGGATCGTATCTGTCTGACGCACCAGACAGCACATGAGGGTGATCATTGGCTGTTTGTACTCACAAACTTCTTTTCCGACCCCAGTCAAGATGACCTCAGCTTGGCTGTAGCCCAGAAGTACACCGCAGGGTTGCCCTCTGTAGAAGATGGCATTGATGCGCGAAGCGATGATGGTGTTGCCATAGCAACATCTGCAAAAATAAGCGTCACGCTTATCGATACACTTGTGGAGTACAGGCCGTTTGGGAAATACTCTATGCTTGTCTGTCTGGCATCCCGTCTTGATGTTGTCGTGGTTTTGCCAAGCCTGTTGGCAGAAACGACAACCACAGTAAAGGTATACCTTGGAAAGGAGCCTGTGTCCGTCTTCCTTCACAATAATTTTCAACATAACTTGATGGATTACGATCGTGACGCTGGGCTCAACTCACTGTTTGGCACCAGTGAACGGGGCGTTGCCGCAGACCTCAAGGAACTTGGCTACGTGGAAGTATTGGGTATTGCACGGGCTAAAGGAGGCAACACTAGCAGTAGAAGCAGCAGCGGCAACGTTGGGGAAAGGGGAGGAGGAGGAGAAGACGGGGTTGGTGATGTTGCTGGCACTGGTGTTAGCGAAGAAGGCAGCAATGCTGAGGAAAACGATATGGCCAATATTTCTCTCTTTGTCAATGTGAAACCCGACAAGCCAGTGTTCATTGAAGTGCAGAACCTCCGTGCATCCATGTTTTTTGCACAAGACTCTCTGTACTATTTCCGTACACTGGTTTCACACTACCTTGGCGGCGTTGACCTCCTTTACTTGCCCTCACCGCACCTCCTCGTGCAGCACAGTGGACCCCATTTCAATCATATTGTTCGTGTGGAGTTGACGAAGGAGCGGACGGCAGCAACGGTGCACCGTCTCGTGCCAGATTACGAGGCGTGTCTCCATCGCCTATTAGGTAGCTCGGTGTTCAGTGTTTCCACTACGGAAGCACGACGTGAAGGGATTCTGGGGGCGACGAGTGGGCCTAAACGATGCACCACAGTAGCTTCCTTCGCAGACTTTGATGTTATTGATCAAAGCGAATATTCCCCTCCCCCGGAGGTGAAGTGGACAACACGCGAAGATGTATCCATTGACTTGACTAAATGTTGCACACATTTAAACTTTCTCTCAGTATACAACACCATTGAGAGGGAGTCCGACTCGTTGCCAGCATGGATATATAACGCAAGGCATGCCCCACGCAAAATACCGGCAAGCAGCCCAGTGGCGGTGGAATTCCATCTCCATGACTGTGACGTCATTGCGCACCTCTACGGTGGTGAGGACTTTATCCACACGGGCGTCCCTCAGAGTTATCTCCACACCATTCAACGCTTTGGTACGCATGAAGATGGTGGTCAGGAGGTCTCAGGGCTCTGGAGCGGCATGGACTCTGACTCGGAGCTGCAAAGAGGACGCCGCGATGGGCGACGCAGGGGCTTCCTCGGTGTTGGGCGACGGCAGGACGAGTATGTTGTTGGCCGCTTTACTGGCCTCCGGCTCCAGGTGGATGTGTTTGTTCCGGGTAAAACACAATTCATGCAGGTGCACCTGGCTCTTCGGGATGGTGAGGTGGTGGACTGCATCGAGGGGAGTTCAGTACGTACGCTCTTCATGGCCACACTGCCGCAATACCTCCGCGATCACGACAGTGACCTGATCGAGGTGAAGTGGACGACACTTCTGCCGAGGACAGCCACCCCTAACGCAGGGACGGTGGTTGTTGGGAAACCGGAGGAGGAAGTTATTGTGCGGTTGCAACCTGTCACTGTTGCGCTGCACCGTCGTGCTATGAGCCTCCTCCCAAGGTTCATCGAGATTCCCGAGAGTTTGACGGATGAAAATGGCATTGTGGATACGACGCAGACTCAGGCGCAACAGCTCTTCTTTAGCAAGATTATCTTTTTTCCAGTGAGAGTGACACTCTACGTGCATTTTGAGGGCAAAGACGCCTCCACTGCTGTTTGCGGGGACATGTTCGAGCTCTGCAATTTTTGTTTACCGTCGCTGGAACGGTCCGAGTTGCAGGTGCCGCTGCTCCTAATCACCGCGTGCCCCATGGACAGGCTTGGCGACCGCATTCTCGAGCTTCTGCAGGAAGAGTTACTCAAGTTCCGTGGCCTATTCCGCCTTTGCTGTGGGGTTCAGCCGCTGCAGATGGTGTCTAACGTTGGGGTGGCAGGCATGGAGGTGCTCTTCTCCCCGCTTAATGACCACCGGCGTAACAAGCGATTTTTCTCTGCTCTCTCCCGCGCATTTCGTCACTTTTTGTTCGTATTGGTCTCACAGTCATTGCACAGCATCACGGTGGTGTCAGTGCAGGCGCACAATGCGACAGCCAGTTGCTTGTCAACCCTGGTGCCAGCAAGCACGGTGAGGGTCATATCTCGTGGTTCACAGCCGGTGAGTCTTCTTGACGGCCTGAGGCGTGGTTTCGAGGAGTTTCTGCAGGGATTTCGCTCTGCCTCGGACATTGCCGCCTATTGTCTGGGCCCGCACGGAAGTCCGGTGCGGCTGCCACTGATGGCTCCTGCTGTGATGGACGGATTTGTACGCGGGGCGATAGAGGTGTTGCGTGGGGTGCGCAACTCCGTCGCGCCGGAGCTGTATGAAAACGAGAAAAGGATCTTTAAGGGCAACCGGCGAAGGGCCACATAGCTGCGTTAGCAGAGACACTCGGAAGGAGCGGAGAATATGTGCGTGCGGCGAATTTCAAAAAAGTTTGAGTAGGGGGAGCACCACAGTAATGAGTGAAAAGGAAACAGTGAGGAAGTACAGCATTTGGCTTTCTGGAGAAAGGGGGAACAAGAGAGAGAGGGAAAAAGAGATAATAGCATGCGTGTGCGCGTAGGCCGCGCACTATGAATGGCCTTTGCTTCTTCGTTAGTGGTGATAATGGCGGGTGCACCATGTCGTTGGTTTTTTTTTGGGGGGGGGCGGGGTTGGTGGGAGGTTTGTTGTTTTCTTTGTTCGTCAGTGCGGCACCAGTGCCTTCCATGCGTGTCTGTGTGCGTGTGGGAAGGGGGGGGGTGTCCAACTTCGTCGATTGCTGCGGTCTTCCCGTCGAAGGGGGTGTGCTTCGTTTTCTCATGGTGTTTCTCACTTACCTCCTTTGAAACGCCTGGTGCAGCTCCTTTTTTGTTGTTCTACTTTATTATTAGACTCGCTTCACTGGAGTTTGGTGCTGCGTTTGGCGGCGTTATCCCATGCTGCTTTTATAAATGAAATGCGCCTCCCTTTCACAGTTGTGTAACCATCGTTGCTGGCTCGAGCTTCGTGGCCTGCTCCCACGTCAAGCTCCAATTCCGCGCGTGGGTGTGAGCCTGCCGCGTCTTCTCGCCCCCATTTGAGATGGAACTATTTGTGTTGCGCCGAAAAAAAAACTCCTCCCTCCCCATTGTTCTTGGAATGCTTCTTCCATCCTGCCGTTTTCTGCTGTGCGTGCGTCACATCCCCCACCCCCACCCCAACCCACTGCCGATGAGAGAATTAGCTAGAAACCTAAGCGAAGTGGTGTGGTGTAGCCAGCACTTGTACGTCACGGGCGCAGATGGAGGTGGAAGGCAGCGAAATGCAGGGTAAGGTCATCGTGCTGCTGCGCACAAGCAGCACTGCGCGGGCGCCTGTCTACCGGCACCTGCGCGAGGCGGGCGTCGTACTCGTGCTCGTCCACCCCGTGCGACCAGCCACCGCTTTCGACGGCGTATTCCACCACCACCTGCTGCATGACACCAACGATGTGGCCGCGCTGCAGCCGGCGCTCAAGCAGTTCCTGGCTGAGCGAGCACTGATACCTGACGCCGTCATCTCCTTTGACGAGTACGCGGTGTACCCCGCGGCGGTTGTGGCGCAGAGCATGGGGTGCCGGGCGATTCCGCTGTCACCAGAGAAGTTGCGCGTCACGAATGTTAAGTCGCTCTTCCGTGAGCGTTGTGCAAAGGAAGGCATAGCATCGCCTGTCGCTACCGTACTGACGCGCCCACCTGCAGGACTGCACGATCTGCAGGAGCACATTCAGCGTGTGCTGGGGACAGCGGGACTGACGTTCCCAGTTGTTCTGAAGCCGTGCCCTGGCGCCGGGAGTCTTTTCACGAGGCTCTGCAACAATGTTGAGGAGGTGCGTGACCAGGCGCTCACCATGTGGAACGTCTTCAAGACGCATGCCGATGTAAAACACTTTGAAGCTGTCCTCGGCCCAGCAGGGGTGAAGGAGATGCAGATAGTGGTGGAGGAGTACATAGGAGGTCAAGAGATTGACGTCGATTGCTGTGTCGAGAACGGCAAGATAGTTTTCTTCTCCATCTCTGACAACTTTGAGGTTCGGCCACCCTTCTTTGTCGAGGAGGGTGGATTGTGCCCATCCTCCTTGCCGTCGTACGAGCAGCAGGAGGTGCGGCAGCTCTTTGAACAGGTCATCGCTCTCTACGGCGAGGAACTGCACGGTGTGCTGCATTTTGAGGCGAAGTACGACTTTCAACGTCGTCGGGCGTATGTGATTGAGGTAAACTGCCGTCTCGGCAGTGCCGAAACGAACACGATGATACGAACCTGCTATCGTGGCCTGCAGCTCGGTGAATCGCTGGTGCGGTGTGCGCTGGGGTTGCCGGTAACGCGGCAACTCCTTCGCCACTACCCGACAGAGCAAGCGCCGGTGGACGGCTGCTATCCGCACACGTGCTGCTGCGCCTCAGTGAACATATATCCCGTGGCAGAGGGTGTGCTGCTGCGGGCGGAGGTGCCGGTGATGGACAAGAGCCTCGTCGACTACAGCGTGTCAGCGGAGCCGGGGGCGTTGGTGGCACCGCCGCCAAAAGCGTTCTACTTGCTATCATGGATGGTCGCGCGCGGCGCAACAGCGTCGGAGGCAAAGGCAGCGATCGAACGTCTAGCGGCAAACTTCGTGCAAGAAATATCTGTGGCGCAATGAACCGTATCGGGAGAGGCGATTGAGCAGTAATGACAGCAAACGTCTAGCAGTAGAAAGGGGGGAAGGAGGAGGGCGGGGGACTACCGTATGGTGGTTGTTTGAAGGGGTAACGTAGGGCGGCTGCGTTTTGTCCAGCTTCTCTTGTGCATTTCTGCTGTGCGAGGTGCGTAAGCATGCTTTTCTTGTTGCTGTTGTTTCGTCTCCCTCTCTCTCTCTCTCTCTGGGTGTGTGTATATGTGGGGGTGTTGCTGCGGATCTATAAATGCGTGGTTTGGCACAACACGCACCGTTTGCGTTCGCGACGGCTCCATGAAGAGGAAGGACGCCGCTGTCAAACAGAGATGTTGGAGGGGGAATGGAGTGGTAAGGGTGAGTCCTTTTTTTTTTTCTCCCCATCCTCATCTCCCCCCGTGTTAACTGAGAATGAATGAGCAAAGTCGTTGTTTCTTCAGCGGTTGGCCTTTCATGCGTTTGTTTGTATATATGTGTTTGTGTCTGTGTGTGTTTGTGTGTGTGTGCATGTGCCTTTTTTTTTTGTGGGGCTTTTTTTTTTCCGACTATTTATCCTTCACCGCTTCCTTTCTTATTTGCTAACGTTCTGCGTCTGTGTATCGCTGATGTATTGGTGTGGTGGAGGAGCGGATGGATGGATCATTATGATAATTCTTGTTGTAATTCGCATTAGACCGACTTCACTCCAACACTCTTTTTTTTTTTTGTCGCGCCTCCGCTCTGTTTAACCACTGTGACCTGTGGCAAGACGAGACGTAGAGGCCACAAAGCGCGTGTGTCATCTTAAATGCCGACTACTGTTTTCGCTGCTGCTGCTGCTGCTGCTTCTCTGTAGGCTTCAACTTTCCAGGGCTTGTTGCTGTCACATTTGACTCCCTTTCTTCTTCGTTTTTTTCTGTTCGCTATGTGTTTCCACAACGTCGCGAAGGGTAGTTTTCTCACCGTGAAGGAGTGCGTGGGGAACGTTTGGATAAATTTATATTCTGTTAGGGACGGAGCGAGTGGGAAAAGAAAAACAAGGCGAAATAACGATTGGGAACGGTGGGGGTGTGCGCGCACTCACGGAGAACAGCTGGTGAGTGGTGGATTGAAGCAGCTCTTTGCTGGGGCTCGTGGTATGTACACACTTAATTCAACTTCGGTGCGCCGAGCCCAACAACAACAACAACAGCAGCAGCAGCAGCAGGAACAGCGAGAGCCCTTGACGTCATCCCCATCTTTGGACGCAGGAGGCGCTAATGTGCCGTTTGTTGTGGAGCCACTTGGCCACGGCAGCCCGGCGACGAACGGGGTGCCGTCCTCGTTAAACCCCGGGGAGGCACTGCTGTTCGCACAGGCGACGCGGATTGTCAATGCAGGCGCTGTGCCAGGCCCAGTAAGCGGCGGGCAAGAAGCAGCGAGGCCACCGAGGTCCAGCTTGCAGCAGCAGCAGCAGCAACAACAACAACAACAACGAGGAATGCCGCCAAAAATGTCTTTGCAACAGCAGAGGATGCAAGAAGAATTATACCAAGAAAAGCTGAGGGTGCAGCAAGAGATCGCTCAACAACAACAGAGGTTGCAGCAGCAGAGTTCACTGCAGTTGGCGCAGAAACAGAGGAACACTGAACTTTTGCCACATCAGCCGGTTCAGCAACAGCAAATGTCGATTCAGCCAGAGGCTAAACAAAAAAATATTGATAGGCAAACCCCACAGCTGACACGGCGAGAGCAACACCTGGCACAGCCGTTTCCAGCCCAAGATGGTTTGATGCATTTTGTACAGAAACAGGGAGTTCAGCAAGGACTATTGCAGCAGTTGGCTCAGCAGCAACGTGCGTTTTTGCAAAGAGGAAATGCGCAAGAATATTTTGATAAGCCACGTCCACAACTTGTTCAGCAGCAGGAGCCACGGGCACAAGAAGGTGTATTGCATCTGTCCTATCAACAGGGAAGCCGTGAGGGTATACTGCAGCAGCTAGCTCAGCAACAAGAGGTTTTTTTTCAACGAGGAAATACACAGCAACAAAATGATAGCCAGGTCCAGCAACAGGTTCAGCAGCAACAGCAGCAACAGCTGATACAAAGGGGCGTGTTATCCCTGCCTCAACAGCAGGGGAGTCAAGGAGCACACAAGCAGTTAGCTCAACAACGACATACTATGCGTCAAGGAGGGAATCATCCGCAACCGGGGAGATATCTTGAGCAAGTTCCTCAGCAACAGCAGCAGCAACATGGGATTCAGCAGATGGTGCAGGAGCAACAGGCGATGCCGTCACAAGGCGCGCAACGGTGGCGTCAGCGGAACCCCAGACAGGAGAAGCAGGGAAGAATGCGGGGATCGAGGAATAGGGTTGATTTTGGTCATCGAGGCGATTCCACTGGGGGAAAGAGTACTGGTGTTCGTGAGACACCGTGCATCGAGGAGAATGAAAACTCAGCACCCATTATTCGTGATGAACAGTTCGTGCAAAAGCTGAAGGACCTCTATGCTCTTCAGGCCGACGACGCGGGGAAGACAGAACACTTGCGAGAGCAGGCCAGCACCGCCCTCGGTGTCGTGGGTACCCTCGATGTTGAGCGTTGCAGCCGCTTGATCGCAGAGCACGACGTGACGATTGTTGTGACCGACACCGGAACCGGAAAGAGCACACTCATCCCAAAGGCTATCCTCGACGGTCACCCGGATGCAAAGATCGCCAATGCACAGCCACGCCGCACGCCGGCGATCAAGCTGGCGCAGCGCGTGGCTGCCCTGTGTGGAGAGAAGGTCGGCGACAAGGTGGGCTACTGGGTGCGAGGGGAACACGTCGGCACGGTGGGCGAGACGCCAATCATGTACGTGACAAATTACACCCTTTTCCTTCACTTGCTTCACTACTCACCGGAGGATATTGACCTCACACATGTCATCTTTGATGAGTTCCACGAGCGCACCGTTGAAGTAGAGGTTTTGCTCCTTATGATGAAGCTTGTGATGGAGCGTAACCCGGGCAAACTGAAACTTGTGCTCTGCAGTGCTACCGCTGAAGTGTCGAAGTGGGCGTGCTTCTTTGAAAATATGACGGTGGCTGAGTACTCCAAGGCTAACGCCATGTACCCCATACACGATTACTATCTGGAAGATGTCTGCAAACTCATTGGTGTGTCGTTTGTCGAGCCAAAAATGAGTCCCACAGGGGTTGTGCAATCGGTTCAGCTCCACGCGATCATCATGTACATAAAGGAGATGCTGAAATTTCTGGCGGCAACGGCGGTTCCAGAACATAGCATTCTTGTTTTTGTGCCTGGTCGCACCGTTGTTGAACAGCTGTCAAAATGGATACGGGACAACTTGGGTGATCAGTTAGATCCCATCCCATGGTACCGCGACATTGAGCTCTCCTTTATTCAGGAGGCCCTCCAGCGCGAGTCGGTGACGAGGAAAAAAGTCTACGTCGCCACAGATATTGCTGAGGTATCACTGACGTTGCCTGATGTTGTTTTTGTCATCGACTCAGGTACAGCCAAAAGGCCCCATATCATTGAGACGAGTCCAAACTCTGTGGCATTCCCGCCGCTGGAGCTAGTCTGGGAAAGCTCTGTAAACTTGATGCAGCGGCGTGGCCGCATTGGTCGAGTGCAACAAGGATTTTTCTTCACAATGCTCTCACGGGAGCAAAGTCAGGCCCTGTCGCCCAGTGAGTCCCGTTTAGGAAACGCTGTCTTACACGAAATTGTGCTTCACTGCCTTCACCTGACACCGTCGCCATTCTTAATGTTTTCCATGTGTCGCGAAGAGCCTCGCCAGGTGAGCGTGCGGCTGAGTATCTCGACGCTGTGCGATGGCGGATATATCGTGCCGGAAGGGGATCAAAGTTCATTGGTGGAACGCATCGACAACGCCATGCATCTTCGCGTGAAAACTGCATGGAATTTGCTTATTGAAGAGGCACACAAGAGAAGACAAGGTGGTAACAAAACCCTGGATGTCCCGCTCACGCAACTCCGCTTCAACGTGACATTGCGTGGGTTGATTGTTGGGGGCCTTCCCTTCGGTGTAGAGCCGGGTACGATTGTGTTTCACGGTCTCATAACAGGCCTTACAACGCTCGCTATCATTGCGGCAGCCTGCGTGTCATGCAATACACCATTCTACGTACCGTACAACGTGACAGACAAACTAGCGCGGTTGCAGCTACTTGATCGGGTGGAAAAATTAATGCGTGGTTTTAAGGGGGAGTATCACAATGATGCACTGGCAGCAGTGGGTGCTGTCCTCGCCTACATGGCGATGCAGCGCGATGGATTGTCGGAAGAAGGCCAGAACGCGTGGTGCGAAGAGCGTTTTTTGAGTCGCTCTCGCATCGCGGATATTCTCTTAGTGGTGAGGCAAACTAAAGAGCAGCTCGCGGCAATTCTACCCTACGAAGACGTGACAGATGTGGAAGAACTTATGGAGCAGTATAATGGGAACGCGCTGCCATTGTCTCTCATCTGCTCCTCGGCTCATATGCACCACGGCATTTATGTTCTTTATGATGCCCAAATGGCTGAGAAGAAGCGGTATGCAGGGAGCGGTGTGTTTGTAAACATAAATTGCTGTAGGGATAAATCAGTTCCAACGACGTGCCTGTGGGCGCGTGACACAGTGTGCATTCCATTCACGGTGCAAACCATCTATGGCCGTCTTGTGGGTTCGTTTTCCTCACAGCTTCGGCCTGAGGTATTTAACGTAATGTTATTGCTATTTAGTAGCCGATTCACCTATGGCGAGATCGGTGAAAACACACAAGCCGTCCTCTTTGAGGTTTCCCAGAGCGGCAGCAGTGTCTACATTAGTTGTGACAGGACCACTGCACTGCAGCTATTGCAGATCCGTCGTTTGATTTGTGCGAGGCTTTGTGTATTGCATCTTCTTATGCAGCGTGAGGTGGGCCCAAACGACGCCGACGCAATTGCAGAGCACCTGCGTGGGAGAGAAAGTGACTTTGGCATTCCGCCTAACTTGGAGCAACACCCTGAGCTCCTCCCTGCCATGATAACATCCGCAGTGACAAAGGTGGTGAAGCGCATTGAAGCGGCTGCTGACGCACGAAAAGACACAAGGGGCGCGCAGTCCGCTTTTGAAGAGCCGCAGCCCTTCTGCCGCGCCGCTGAGCCACCGGCAGAATTCCGTCCGGCGCGGCAGTCGGTACTTGTCTTCT